GTGAGAATAATATAACAGGAGAGAACATCCCAGGGGCCACAAGAACGCGATCACCAATTCGCAAGTCCTTCATCGATTTTGACCCGCCACCCTCTACAACTACTCTAGCAGAACGTGGGAAGCATTTCTTATTCTTAATAGAATTCGCTGTGTCTTCATCCAGACTTTCGATATTCGCAGCCTCAAAGACCCCAGGGTTTCCTGTCTCTATTTCTTCCTCAACGCTCTCCTCTAGAACTTCCACATCTTCGCTTGGCAGTTGTGAAACAGATGGCATTGTATCGTTGTCTTCAAGTTCTTCGCTTGGCAATTGTGAAACAGATGGCACAGCATCGTTGTCTTCAAGTTCTTCGCTTGGCAATTGTGAAACAGATGGCATAGTACCGTTGTCTTCGAGGTCCTCTGATGTCCTTACGTAAGCGCAAATTCTTCCATCCCCAGATTGCGACGTAGATATCATCCACATCCGATTTTGCGCAACCAGTTCATACGGAAACAAGGAATCATCAAGTATGGCGGCCATAGATAAACCAGAGAGCAACGTTTCGAAGTCTTCTGAAAAAAGGTACACTCGCGTTTGATCGTCCTCCCATGTGCCGCATTTCCGCACTGTCGTGTCTTTCCCAATCGCAAAAATCGACTGAATTGTCTCTTGCGGCAAATTGAGGAGGTATTCTGGTAATTGTTCACTGTAGAAAGCTGACGAGTAGAAACGGACCACTTCTTCGAGGGTCTCGGAGGTGCAAGGTGCTCCGTTGGTAAAAATTTCGGCATGTGGTATGATTCCCGGAACGTCTGTCGAGGCAGAGGTATGTGCGTTGCCCATGGCGGCGTGAGATATTTCCTCAGCACACCCCGGTAGATTGCCAGTGACAAGCAAAAAGTTAGCATTGGAGATTTGCGATAACGTCTGTGATGTGGAAGTGTCAAGAGAAGATTCCTCTCCAACGCACAACGTTGAGACCAGAAACAAAATGAAGCATGTGTGGACAAGAATATTGAAATGAATCATTTCTTCTGTCGGAGGCTATGATGCCTAGCCAAAACGCATCGAACCGAAACGTATAGCAGTTGGCTAGGCGATAATTAAAGCAATCTGCAATGCCTTCCAAGGTGTGCTTCACTTGTAACATTCGGTCATGAGACAAATGTCAGTTTTTCATCATGTGCACGGCATGCACCCAAAGCCTCAAAAATTTATCCTCTTTACTCGGGCCCAAAGCTGTTTCGGGATGACACAAGGTCTGTAAAGAACCGCGCGTCCGAGGTGCCCAACAGGAGAGAGGGTACTGTTGCGGTGAATTGGCCCAGCATTATCTTTGTCCATGCCAAGCCCTTATTTTATTACTTCGGAGGAATCAGGGCTTTTTTTGCGGTTGCCCTTCCACAAAGGACTGTTAAAAAGAAGCTAACATAAGACATCCTTCTCAATGTCCCCGCACGGAGTAAGACCGCTTTTCTATTCAACGAGTAGCCGGCATCCATCTTGTGGTCTCTGACCCGGACAAATGGCAACGAGAATGTCGTGTACCTTTTTTGGCTACGCCCAAAGATGATAGTTGATGTTAGTATTTGTAACAGGCCTTCTGTATGTGACAAGAAATATTGATGCATGCGGACTCAGCGGAAGCAGGGCACCTACAGTCAAACAAACCTGGGTAGCAGGTTACGACCTGCCCGAGGGGCAACTGGAGATAGTATAAGTATTGTAGTGGACCTCATCAAGTAAAAAAGCTATCAATGTCTTTGGTCGCGAAGGACATCGTATCGTGCAGGAGTGGCCACAACTTCGATTCCCGGCCAGGGCATTTCAAGACGGAACAGACACTCCGCTGCTGGAAGTAGATGTTCTCAGTCTGTTCAGAGACGTGGAAGTCGTAAATGAGGTTTATCAGAGTATAAGCTTCTACAGCCTATGTCGATATCAACGACATTCGAATGTCTGCAGGCTGTGAGGACCACTTCCGAATAGCGGCGATATAATGCAGTGTGGTCGGGATATGTGACGGGGAACACTCACGTAAAGGTGAGGCAGGTGGGCTGATTTGACGTGGCCACTAGATTACGATGAGCACTGTCACGATTTGTCTCCAGCGCGAAGAGTATAATCGCATAGAATAAGAGTGGGAGACGGATGGCTGTAGAAGATGCATGCAGGTCAACTGGGGACTCCAACTGGCACGAACTGGACCAAAACTCAAAAGAAGAGTTGAGAGAGAGAGAGAGAGAGACTGAGCGCGCATGGTGGCTTGGACCCAGCGTAGAATTGCGTATTTCGCACTGATGAAAGGTCGCATCTGACACAGCGAAGGGACGCAAAAGGAGAACACGAGATGGGGAAGGAGAAACTTTTGAACGCTCGTGCGTCATGATCACAACCATGGTTGGTGGTAAGCATGAAGCCTGAGTTGGATCGCGGGCGCAGTCACGAGGTTTGTGAGAAGTCTTAAAGTACCCTTCGAAAGGTAGCGCGTGTGAATCGAGTGAGACCAGTCGTGCGGCGAAGTCCACAGAGAACACATCAAACAGTGAGGTGATGGGCAAGTGGAGGGTGCGCCGATAATGTGCCAGAGGAGCCGGGTGTAGACAACCACTGCATGATTTGACGTAATCGTAAACATCTCGGTGGCAAAGAGGCCACCAGAACCATTGTAATATAATATGCGTGACGTAGTCTGTGAGAGGTAGGATTTTTCAACCTCAATCTTACGCATGGCCCTCGAAGGACCGCCGTGGTCTCAAAAATACGAGTGGATGGAGTGCTAGTCTAGACAAGTAAAGGGCCGATGAGTGGCGAGGCTGAGAACAATGAGTCCGTGACGAAACACATGGTGATGTCACCATGTGTTTCGTACCGAATCGAAGCCTCAGGAAATTACTGTAGCAGAGGAATAATTGCCCGCGGCGGACGTCCTTGTTGACAGGGACGTTCGCCGCGGGCAATTTTTAACAGTCAACAGGGACGTCCCTGTTGTCCGCTGCGGGCAATTGTTCTTCTGCTGCTGTACTAAGGGTACAGTAATTTCCAAGGGTATTGTATTTGAGCTCGGGCCATGTCTTACTGTACAGAATCTGCAGCAGTTTTCTTTTATTTTCTTCATATTCTGGTAAGAATTTAAGGCCCTGGTGATGGCAGTGTAAGCCCTGAGGGGCTCCAGAGCTGCCACCACTGACTGACCCTCTGAAGTGCCGATCTTCCATTCAGCAGCATTTTCTTCATCATGCATGGCATGCCTCCTGGAAGAAGCGCGCTTTCAAGAAAAAGCCCTACCGCACGGCTGTAATTTTGGGTTAGTTGACGGCACAACAGTTGAAACGATGTGACATTTTATTGTCGCCGTGTCAACGTGAAATGAAAACGTATGTTTAAATGTGTCGCTGATTTGCTCATCAAGTTTTGTACAGTAAGGGATCCCGCTTTGCATTGCTGTGCGGCAGTTGGTACAGTATCCTTTACATTGATGACAACTACTTTGACTCCATCGTCTTTGAATCAACAGGTAGAGCAAACTGTCCTGTCTATCCTTTTGCGACGCTTTCAATGACAGTACGTGTACATACCGTAGATGCGAGTGAGCCGCTACATTATTGTTACCATTAAATCACATACAAGCAGCATCATCCATCTACGCACGATTACAACGAAGCAAGATCGTGTTCCCCTATTCAGATCGCAGGTCCAGGTGGCGTACGAAACAAAACGTGCGTTGCTCTAGTAGTCTTCATTCTCGCCCTGAAACGATCCCTATCGCGAGACACCCATCGCCTCTTCGTCCATTGCAAGAAACTCGCTATTATTGCGTTTGCTACATCCCTAAAATCATGCTATGCCGTATTTTGCATCACAACACAGCATTGTTCAGGTCAATACTGTAGTGGGGGATACGTGAGGGAAGCATGCCCCAGCGCAGAGTCATTTCGTCTTTTTGCAAAGATCTGCATGAGAAGACAAGATAATATCAAACGCACAGGCTCACATCGCATGCAGAAGAGACATACTTCATGAAGTGTTTCATTCCGTTTCTATATAAAAACACGTGGACCCGACCAGTTCACTCCCGATGAGATACAGTAGCGGGGGAGTAGATGAGTGGATAGGTCCAAGATGCCGAACGCAGCCCTAAACGGTGTGTATATTCTTGCTACAGAATATATGACGCGGAGCAAAGCAACGTAGAAACGCTGGGGTTTTTACGAGCGTGTAGGTCTTCCGGGAGAAGGGCAGTGAAGCTAATACTGTACAAGTACTGTAGCATGTGCTTCCATTGCATGTGCTTCCATTCAAAGCATAATATGCTCCCGTCGATAGAGACGAAAATGATTGGATTGTTGCATTATGCAATGGTTGTGGTTGCTCTCATAGAGCCCCTTCTTTCGTGAGAAGGCGTAAGCATTAGACTGTGGCGGTACCGTGTTTCGACGACACACCCGTCGGGCCCTCTGCAGGGACAGCATAGTGCTCGTTCGACAGGTGCATGGCTGCCTTTTCTACGTGGGTGACAGGTGAACAGCCGCACGGCTGCATTGTTCGACGTTGATGTCAACTGTTGACAATGTTGACATCAACAGCCCCTGAATTACCTCTGGCGCGCGCCTCCTGGGCACTGTATGTACAATGTTGTATTTTGTTAGATACTTTTTCAAGCCAGAGAGGATACAGTGACATCTCATACAGAATGCAAAAGTGGCACTCAATCATGACTGTAGTCTGCTAGTTTGCCACTACAGGGCATGTCCTGCGATACTGTACATGTTGGTGATTTCTTTATTCAATGTCCTTTTTTGAGCGATGAGAATCACACCTTCCGCCATCCGAAGTGCAACAGCACAGTGAGATTCCCTTCTCAATTCTCTGTAATTCTTCTTCCAGATCTCCCACTTTTCCTCAGTACCGTATTTATATGCCAGTGGACGCCACACTGCAGACTCCGCTGATGAAGTTCATCACTCTTCCTCCCGTCCGATAATCCCAGACAGAACCGCACAGCACTGACTTAACAATGATCGGCCTCCGCGCTGTCTTCCTCATTGCCTGCCTATTTCCACTCGTCCTATCCATTTGTGGTCCCGACTGCACATTCCGCTTCTGTGCCTCCAATGATGTGATGTTTATGCGAAGGGTGGGCACCTTGATGACTGTCCGTCCGCCTGGCATATCGCAAGGCGCATTCATCTGCCATCCTGACATCCCAAACTTGGCCCGTGTTCGCACCGTCGGTGAGACTCTTGTGTTCAACGAAGACAACACCACAGTCCCCATCTCCCAGTGGAGGCCCACCGGCTTAGACGTGCCCTTCGCACCAGACTTCTTCGGCGTCAAACGTGTCGTCTTCCAGCCCAACAGATGGGGATTGGCCAGGGGAAACAGCTCAGGCAACCAACAAGCAATTTTGCATGACCGCTGCCTAGCCATGCCCATCCGTTCCTGGTACGTGACGAAGCAGGATGGTTCGTTGGAAAAGATGACGAGTGACGGGTCGAAAGGCGACTGCATCTCGTTTGAGACTCAAACCGTCAAGGTTTATGTCGAGCTTGCGTACGACAGTGGTGATATCATCGAAATCGAGATGGAGGAACCAGATGGCACAATGATCAACAGTGAAAACGAAAGTTCTGGACGCGGTCGTCTCAGTGACAATGCCAACCAGAATTGTACTGCCCAACCTGCCGGGTTTAAGAACGTCGTCTACAGGTATCCGCGAGTAGAAGCCATTCTTCCGGGTTCGTACAAAGTGACTTTGAAACACACACGCAACTGCGGGAAGGGACCGACCACTTGGACCGTCAAGGTTTGGTTGGATGACGAAATGATCTTCAGGCGCAGGGGTATGTCGGACGCCTCAAACGGAGAGATTATTTTCCAAGGGAGCTACAACTTGGACATCAACTCTTAGAACCGTTTTTCTTGCTAGAAAGGGACTTGGTAAAGGCAAAATCAAATGTAAACATCGAAGCGAACAGTTTATCGTCAGTCTCCCTTTTCGTTTCGTTTAATTTTCCTGCAAATTACACGCCCCTGGTTGCTTCGGCACTACAGTGTACTACAGTGTGTTGCTCATTAGTGCACACCCGTGTCTGAAGCAGAAAAAGTGCAGTACTCCCAAAGTGCAATAATATGGAAGCCATTTATATATAAAGGGGGAGGCGCAATAGTGCCGCTTTCATTATTGCCACCCTCGAATTAGTGCCGCAAAAACCGGCAGACACAGGTTCTGCCACGTGTCATGCACGACGTCGTCATCGCCCACTCCTCATGCGCCTCAGCTCTATTGGTGATGGCACCTCACTCAAAGACCCTAACATGATTCCTGAAAAGATCGCCAAAGCGAAGCGAAACTTTACGCGCCTTACGATTGCACAGAAAATCGAGGTTGGTCATCTGCTGCAGGTCGGCAATGCGAATACCACAGTTATGCGTCAGTTCAAAATTTCAGAGCGAACCATCCGAAATATCAAACGCTCTCTTCCTTCACTCCAACAAATTGTGACCAACACCGCTACAACGCTCTGACCAAAGACTTTGCACCCTGCGATGTGGAGGAATGGATTGAGATCGAGACTAATGAGCTTGTGGCAGAAGCTTCTATTAGTGATGCTTGCGATTCAATACATTATGGTGGAGAGCTACAGAATCAGTCTGCCAGTGATGCTATGATGGATGAGTGTGTGGCAGAAGGCGAGTGTGAAATTACGGAGAGGGGGGCCGTACCGAGTGCTGTAGTGCTAGCAAGGTTGTTTGGGTCTGTAGAGAGTCTGGGTGTGGAGTGCGATGTGAGCAATGCCTTATCGGACTTGAGGTCCGCAAAACGAGCTTTTCTAGAAGTTAGTACTAGGCATGAGAGACAGGGTCAAAGGCAACAACAGCAGACTCTAATAACAGAGTTCTGGCCGGGTAGTGGTTCTGCCGTCTGATTGTGCCGCTCCGAATTAGTGCCGTATTATTAGTCCTTACACGGGGCGGCACTAATGCGTAGGGTCGACTGTATGGGATTAAAGTTTAATCCCTTAACAGTAAAGAACTCATGAATCATACTTTGCGTCCTTCTCTTCTTGTTCTACTCGCCGAATACATCCATAAAAGCACGGTTTGCCTTGCGCAACCCGTCCGCGGCAACCAAAACCCCAGTCCGGTGTGCGAGATCCTCAACCTCCTTAATGCCTTTTGCACCTCAGAAGGAAGGGGAATGCGTTTGCATTCTTCCTCAGCAATCTGCATCATGCCCTCAGCATCACGCTAGACCGCTGCAGAGGTCGCTTGCGAACGGATAGGTCAACGTTTCTGCTCGCCGGTTATGACAATTATTGGTAATACATGGCGGAGAACTTGAAGCATGATTAGAGACTTACGAACAGTGCTGGACAAAAATAATTGCAAGGGTTTAAAGTACCCATGCACTGACTTCGAATTCGACGACCGACGAGAAATCCGCCTTCATCAAGTGCGGCATACCATCGATTATAGCATGTTGCTCGTATGAACGTCCGAACAGAACGGTGTAGGCCGGGGCCGGCCCCGCCCTTGCTATCCCCAGTGCGACTTTTGGGTGCTATTTCATTAGATAGGATACGATGCGCTGAAATAATAACTACAGAAACCACGACTTCCGACATGGACAACACTTCCGTTCCATAAAAGTGACCAGAAGCATAAAAATGTATTGGTGGATTGGACGCCAGTCCGAAGCACATGTCTGATATGCACACGGGTCGTCACACGACTCACCACAGCTCCAGATCAGTGTACCAAACTACACAGTTCATGCCCCGCCGCGTCATGCAGGAACACCAAAGGAACGATCACTCATTGTTTGCGGGTCAGGCGTGATGGTGCTTGTGCCATGCCGCCTACACGGCCGCCAATTTCTACTCTTAAGACAACACACCAGAGACCGATTAAACAATGAAAATGAGCGAAGACTGGAGTGTTTCTCGTTTAGTATACGATTGCAAGGGCGTCAAAGAGTAGACTAACCGTTAATGCGGAGAAGAACAACTCGCCAGAGTGAAGCGATAGTCTTCTCAGCGAACGTCCCAGTTCCATCACAGTCCCAGTTCCATCATACACATCCCGCATTACTGTTAGTAGCAGCAACAGGCACCTGACCAGCCTCCCGTGCTGCAGGTATAGACACGGCAGCTGCATAGTCTGTGACCGCACTCGATGAGGGCGCTATCAACGTTGGTGCGGCAGACACGGGGGCAGGATGCAGCTTCGGTCTGGACCAACATGAGAGCGAAGAGAGCGAGCACCACGGTCGGCAGGAGGAGCAGCAGCAGGGCGCGCGAACGCTTCGCGATCGGCGCCATGGCGGTGATGGCCCCCCCGCCGTGGCGAGCTCACGCGCCCCCATCCTCACCCGAACTCTCAGGGACGGGGAGATGAGAGACAGAGGAGGCAGGAAAGTTGTCGGCGGTGTCAGGGGTGTGCGGAGCTGTCGCTGTAGGGAGATTGTACGCCGAGGGCTTATCGAACTCGTCACCGACGGTGGGCGGGTGGCGCGGGTCTGGAAAGGGCATTCCGAGACGAGTAGGCGAGGGACGGCATGCGATTATTGGCAATCCCGACGTGGAGCGCGAGCTGCTCCGGGTGCGGAGCATGGCGGCGTTGCCGTGCGTCTCGCCGGCGAGTAAAGAGACGGTCTGCATGGAAGGCATCGCCCCCCTGAAGCCTCTCGGCCGGCAGCCAAGAAGACGGCGCGCCGGGTGTGCGGCTGCCCGGCGGGGGCGCGCGATCAAGACGCGCGCGCGGCCACCTGTTGCGCGGCGCGGCCTCCCCGCGCGACTCCTGCAGAGACAAGACGTATTCCAGCTTACCCGGGGCGCCGTCCGCCGCGCGCAGCTGCGTCCTCTCTCCACGTGCCTACGTCACCGCCCCCCACGCGGGGCGCGGCCGGTCGCAGTCGCTGAGGTGCGGGCGGATGGCCCGTGCCGGCGGGTAGCGCGAATCGCGCGGGCGTGCGTCTTCTTCTCCGTCTTCTGAGCCGCACGTAGCATTGCTGCATCTCCGCCCGCAAACGCGTCCCGTTCAAACCAGGCGCGACCCGCCCTAGTGTCTAGACGACCGGCAATTTGCCTCATATGAGGTCACCCTTGACCTCATATGAGGTCAAATGCTCTACAGTAAAATTTAAACAAAATTTAAGATTTTCGCAAGTATAGAACAAAAGGAGCACAATTTTTACGAAGTAGAACTTTGAACGACTATAAAGACAACTATAAACGACTAGTTAGTAACTGACAAGCCAGCTCAGTGGTCTGCAAGGATCGCTGAGTCTTAGAGGCCGGGGTTCAACTCCTCGCTGAGCACTTTAGTGGTCGAAAAATCCCTTCGGGGATCTCGATGGTTCTTGTTCGTGACCTGCAGCCCAGGACGCTTTATAGCGCCCACTCGAACATGAGATTGAATACGGTGACATCTCATAAAGGGGCATTCCGACACGGCTGCAGGTCTTCCAAGCAAGTCTTTAGACGTAGGATAGAACCATAGGGGGCAAAAGGAGTTTTTTTATCTCTTTTTGCTCTATTTTACTCAAATGCTGACCCATTTAGTCCGTTTTAAAGGCCTCAAGCGCTTTAAGCACTAATAGTACTTACCTTTGTAAGTAAGATCGTGACGTTCGTCGACGTGTTTCTTAAAACAGTCACGCCCAGTCTGGTGATGACAAAGGTATACTTCTTTGTCAAAATATGCCTTGCAGGCTGAGCAAATGAACTTTGACTTTTTTGTACCTTTGCAAATATTGCACCTGGATTGATAAAGAGCACAAGTCTCCTCGCCGGATGCGCTTTTACGCTTGCGAGTGGTTGGAGTTAGGTGAGTACCAATTCTACTGCCAAACCCAACATCTTCATCTTCAACAGCACTGTCTGATTCTCGCTGACGTAACGATATACGATCATACTTGTTATCAATCAACTGGTCAGCAAGCTCACAATAAAACTGATTTGGAGACATCTTAGAACCATCTCCTTTTGCACCTGCATACAGTTTCCATGCATCCACAATGCAATTGGCCAATAAAGAAGTGTTGACACGCATAGACCACTCCTTGACTTCGAACTTCTTTTCCAAGCCGAGATCATCCTGACGAGATCTGTTGTGGCGGTCAATCTGAGAGCAAGTTTCATAATACTGCTCACAGACTGAGGGAATACGGATAGACAATTCCTCTTTTCTTGTCACGCCATGACGTGTACGCCATCTCTCGCGGTAGATTGGAGTTCCTTCGTTGGATGTTCCGACAGAACTAATAAAGTATCTGCGGTCTCGGTCCACCCACATCACTGCCATGAGATGAGGCCCGGCCACCGGCTTTGAAACTAGTGTGACGTGCTCTCCCTTTTCAGCAATCTCCAGATGAGATAGATATTTCATCGGATATTTCTTGGTAGATGTCTTCACTACACCTGTGAATCTAAGACCTTTCTCATAAAGTGATTCAGCCGTGTGGACAGAAGCAAAGTACGAATCCGCGCAGACAACACGATTGGCGTGAAACCATGGCTGTAACAACCTCAAAGTCACTGCGGTTCCGTGTAAGTGGTCACTTTCAAAATCCTTTAAAGAAGTCTCCTCAGCTGAGACGACGTTCTCAATTCTTATTATGATTCCACTTTTTCCACATGCAGCAGTCTTCAACTCACAGCCATTCTCGGGTTTTCGGTCCATGGCCACATAATGAGGAAGACCGGTTTCAATCCAATCTCCTCCAAGTCCATACCAGCGTGACATACTCTCATCAACGCAGATGTTCTGTGATGGAATCACATGTGATGCTCTGTGATCATTGATTGCAACCATGAAGTCCCTGATCATACCCCATCTGTCATTTGAGTCAGCTGGAAAGCTGAACGTGACATTCTGACGAAGCTCCTCGAATCTTCTGCGGGAGATGATGTTTCCGAATTGAGGTTGCGGGAGATATTTGCTGGTTTCCTGTGAGCTCCAAAGAGACCTTCTGGTGCTGAA